TGAAAGCATTCAATGAAATACAGTCAGATCATTTCCAGTCTTTTTGCAACACGTTTCATGTAGAAGGAGCAGCATATACAAAAGATTCTTTAGAAATGAAACCTCTGCCTTGTTTTTGATGAATACTTAGGCTTATTATGCTACTGTGTGGTGTTGGTCATTTGTGGTGGTACTTGGAGCGGCAAGTACTGAGGTACTTGGTGTAAAAAGTTTGAGAACCACTGGTCTAGATGATCCACCTGGAAGAAGAAAACCCTCTTGTATAAAAAATGCTAATCAAAATAACTTGAATTAAATAAATATTTTACTTTTATGAACAAAAAGCTGCAGAAGTTGAAAACACAGACTACATGTGATGCAATCATTGATAAAAATGCGAATTAAACCGTTAATAGGTGTTAGCATTTATGGATATTACAATGTACATTGTGGTAAATAAATCTAAGGCAACCAAAGTGAGACTGGCACAATGTAAAAACGAATATTAGCCTTGTAAGCATATTTTATGATATCAAGTAGAGTTAGCTAACTTGCCCAACACTAATTAGCTTGAATCTCACAAATAAGGCTAAAAGGTTAAAAGAGTTGCACACTATTATGTACAAAACGGATGAAAATATGTTTATACCTTGTTCAGATGACAGTGAAACCTCCTACAGTTTCCAGCTAAGACTGCTGTCTGCTGCTGTGTGATGCCCTTCTCCTACGTCATCGCCGCCATTTTGCCCCCCCCCTGGCGTTTCTATGCGGAAGTGAAAAGGTGCCACTTCAAAGCCGTTTTTTAAACATAATTCATCTGAATATGTCAAAATGAACACCCGAAATATTATAAACACATATTGTAGTTATCTATTCTGGATAGCAGCATATTCAATTCTAGTACTACTTTAAGCTTTGGGTGTGGAGTGTGGGAGTGATGAACTGGTGCAGGCGAGTGTAGAACTTTTGCACCAATACCACTTTTTTCAAAAACCGATATGAGTACCTTCATTATAGTGCTTGCCAATACGGAATACCAATACGAGCACTCCATTATGTTATCCCTGGGAATTCATAAAACGAATACTACTGAAATTTTGAAATGTTTTGCATTGTATTTCAATAATAACAAAATGCTTTAACAATTAAACATTTTAGCAATTGTTTTAACAGTCAACAATAAGAGTCACTGTCATACAAAGAAATAGCTACCATTTCAATGCACTGTGAGATATTTAGAGCTCTTATGTCACACATCAAGTTTAAATTTAAATAAATAATATAAAAGCAATATTACTCAATTGATATTTACCATGACAACACGTGCTAGCAGCTTTCTGCTGTCGTGATGCTAATATAAATTAAAAATGTGGGTATCTGTTGACGGCATTGGCTCCTGTTGTATGAGTAAGAGAATGAGCCTAGGGTATCGAACCGATACCAGTATACCGATACTGGTATCCATGCATCCCTAGTTTTTGATCTTCATTTGTATTTGTCTCCATGTTCGGTTTGCTCTGTTTTAAGTGTGCTAAAAAAGTGAGAGTTGAAGACTTGATGTATTATAATAAAAGAAAATTAAAGATAATGATATTGTCTTTGTCTTTCCCTTGCTCCATGTTTCATAATTATTCATATGTTTGTCTGGGCTCTATGTGATAGACCTAGGGATCTATTGGTGCCTTTCCATAATCACGGCGCGGCACGGCTGAGTGTGGGTGCTTTTCCATTAAAACTAGTACCTCCAAGTATCTCCTACTTTAGCAATCTTTCCTGTGTGAAGTACCATATGAGCACCCACACAGGGTTAAAACCTTTCAGCTGTCCACACTGCAATAAAGCATTTTATTCCAGTAGTAATCTAGTTTTGCATAAAAAGTTTCTATCCGGTGTGGATTCTTATATCTGTTCAACCTGTAACAAAGCATTTACCCATAAAAGTGCTTTAATCATTCACAAAAGAACACACACAGGCGAAAAACCATATTCTTGTTCAGTCTGTCAAGAACAATTTAGCAACCGATTTGCACTGAAACTGCATACAATTTCACACACAGGGGAAACGCGATTCAGATGCTCTAAGGCCTTTGTCTGCAGCACTAAACTGGAGATACACGTCAGAACTCACACTGGGGAGGGAGAAACCCTTCAGCTGTTCCATTTGTAAGAAAGAATTTACCTACTAGTCAGGAATGAAAGACCACATGAACACGCACAAAGAGGAAACAGAATTCAGCTGCACAACTTCTAAGAAAGTGTTTACTTCAAACAGAAATCTACATTTACATATGAAAATACACACACAGGAGAGAAATTTTTCAGCTGTCCGAGCTGCAAAAAAACATTTACGCGCCAAAGTTCTCTGAAGGACCACAGCCAGATGCACACAGGGGAAACTCCTTTCAGCTGTTTCATTTGTAAAAGAGCGTTTACCCAAAGTTCTACTCTGAGGAACACTGAAAAAATTCACAAAAGAAAGACTGCTAAAGACACATCAAGTGACTTTTCAACAAATCCTTCTGGTGATGACTCTAGTGATGCAACAGAAGACTCTTCTGATGATGGAATGGACATGAAAAAACACTAAAAAAACACTTGCTGTTACAACTTAATCGATTTATCACAACTGATCATTTATTGAAATGAAACGTGCTGAGAAGAGGTTTTATGACTTTGATAATTCTACAATGTCATGAACATGAAAATGTCATACTACATCGTCATCATACAGTCATCTCTTTATGAAGGTGTTCTCCAAGGAAACATCACTGGGGCTTTGTTTTGGTCTAATGTAGAAGAAAATCCCATATTCACTAAGCTTTAGAATCTAAAAGACTACAGTACACCTCCTCGTTCTGTTAGTGGAGAGCGAGCGTCACACTCAAGTTTCTACTCAGCACTTTTTACGGCCTGAATTCATACACAAGCTGAATCAATTAGCTCAAGTTTTCAATTAAATTACGGATTTTAATACAACTCGTATGTAGTAACAAGCATTTTTATGAACTCATTAAAAAGAAAATCGGGTATAGCATCTTTAACCGCAGAGAGAGTTAGTTTTTTGTTATTGGGGCTGATGTCAGATTTATTTGATTTGAAGGACTTATTTTGACTACCAGTGTTCCCCATTTCAAACAAAAAGGGCAGGGTGGCATATCTGATTTGAAGGGCACTTGCACGCGGAAACCTCTGAAAATAGGGGCATACACTATAGCTGCATACGTGGGGTTGGAACACCAAATTAACATTGTTTGGATAATTGGATAAATAGTATTACAGTAATAATATATTTTATCACTGTGAGAACTGTACTTTACAAATAAACATGTCTTGCCTTAAATAATTCATTTTTAAACCCCTTTATTACAGTTTTACATCGATTCCATCAATCTATAGTTAGAGAGCAATCTTTATCATTCTCCAGAGGAAGCAAAACGACCTGATTCACTTTGCTACGTAGCACACTTTCACATGCAAGGGAAAGAAGCACGTTTCAATAAAGGTGAAATCACCTCTATGCAAGAAATGGCTGTAATTTATAAGTTTTGAGTGTTTTATGGTATATCACACATGTGCATGGGATGGACTGTGAAAAATTAAGAAATACAGGACTTTTAGAAATAGATTAAGAACAGTAATGATACACCTATGGAGGAATGAATAAACTTCTGCTACTCAGAAGATGCAATGAATACATTTGTCCACTAGATTTCAGTGTTACAAGCTAATCTGAGCTCAGAGGCATCGCACATTCTGGCAATGAAAGCCTCAATGTGTGAAGGGTTTCATTCGTTTTGCATGTTGCATATCTTTAAAAGCTGTTTAAAGGTTAACTATTCTAACTAGATGAAAGGCTCTGGTGGGAAAAGAGGGAAAAACAGGATTTTTAAAAAAAATTCTTGTGGCGGTGACATGATATCGGGTGTCACATTACGTCCTCCTGCGCCCATGTGCATACTTCTTAAATTATTTTTCAAATGAATAAGCTTTGTTCATTGGCAAAGCCCAATCAGTCGAAACCCTTTTTTTATTGGCGCTTTTATTTCGAAACACAACATAAAACTGATCTGTCTCTGGAGAATGTTGTATGAATGAAGCCAGAAACCGCGTCACTTGATGTAAATAAATTAGATGAGCGCAAATGTAGAAGACATACAGATGAACTTGGTTTGTTTTAATTAACGACACATAAATAAAAGGTGAGAGTTGAAGAAAAGAATGTATTGTAATAAATGAAAATTAAAGATTATGGAATTGTCTCATTTGTCTGTCTTCAGTTGCTTAATGTTTCACATTTATTCATATGTTCATCTGGGGATGTCCAGACTTTTGCATCCTGTGGTTCAGGCTGGAGGAGAAATTAGCACAATACATTGATAAAGTGATAACAACACCCAAATACAAGTTTAGAACGGAATGTCCCACAGTGGCTTTAAGGAACCAATATGCATTATTTGTGTACATTTTGCCCCTTAAACATGATCATGAGAATATTTTCATCGACATTTTACTATGTGTAATAATAGCTAAGTTGAAAATATATTGATTAACTAATTAAGTGGAAATATTTATGTTACTATGACATAATGGACAAAGCTGTTATCCACTTTTGTCCCATGATGCTTTCATGCCTTCTAGGAATCTCAGGAAATATCTGTAATCCTCAGACTTCAGAGTTGGCAACAACAGCAAACACGAGTTTCCAAGATCGCATAAAAGGCGGCATCAGTCCTGTAATAGTAGGATGTCATCGTACCACTATGACATCAAGTAAAAGTATTTCTCATAAATTAGTTTTGGTAAGTTCTTTACAATCGCATTTTTGTGTTTGAAGCCATTCATTTTAAAATTAGAAAAAAAAGATGGCATAGGGAGTTATACCATATAGTTCTAAATAAGATATAATTTCACATTTCAAGTAAAACAATTGATCATTTTTTAAGGTTGTTTAATCTCTAGCTAGCAGATTGGCATTGTCCATCTATATACAGTCTATGGTTGTGTCCATCTGCGCAGCCTCCTCATCTGCAGCCACACTCGTCCACCACCATGTCCTGGTAGTGCCTCAACACCACGTTGTCGTTGTTGTCATAGTAGAGCATGGAGATGGGCGACAGGCGGATGGGCACGCAGCAGGGCTGGGGCGTCCCATGGGGGTCCAGGGAGTGCACCAGAGTCTGCAGAATGGCATGGTTTGTCCCATTCAGCTTCTCGCTCAGGGGAAAGGGGCACTCACCGAGGCAGTAGTTGGCCATGTAACCCTGTGGAGAGGTCACATCAAAACATAATACATTTTTTGTATTGCTAACATTTCAAAGATTTAAACACCAAAACATCTAAAGTGTAGCTGCTGACAGAGGCCACTGTCATACATTTAAAGTTGGGGTACCAAACTTTTGTTTCATAAAGAGCTCTTTTTTGCCATATGAACTAACATGGACTCTGAGGAGCACAGGGACTGGCCTCCTCCTAATACTCTGAGGAGCACATTGTGTATGAACTGGTTCCATATCACACTTTTTAACTTTTCTCTGCTTTAAACATGATTACAGTGCTATTTGGCCTTCATACACATGCCCGGAGTAGTTTTATCATTGATTCTGTCAATCTGTCTCATTCACCCTCGAGAGGCAGCGAAATGCCCAGGTCCACGTCTGTGACAAAAACCACACTGATGATGAATATGACGCGCATAAGCCTGTTTGCTTTGTATTTAAAATGGTTTTTAAATACTTTTGTGAAAACAGGGTAAACAATACACAATAAGTATGCTGTTTGTTGTCAAAAGTAATAAAAATAATACTAAAAGTTGGGAGGTGATTGACAGATCGAAACAGCAAATCAGAGCGCGCAGCCAGCTCCCAAGTCCAGCTCCTGAGTCTAGCTTATGTCTGTGGTTTGGTCCCGTGGACACAACATGGAGCTACTGTTTTTCTGCTTTTGTCACCAACTAAAAGTGTTAGGATCACGTCAACTTGGAGAACATGTGTAAATATGTGACGCACTATTTAGCCAGAAGAGGAAGAAAGCGGCTCCAATTTTTCAGAACTACAGTTACCATGGAACTGGACTTACTCAAAAGCTGATCTGGAAACCAGTGTTATTCCCACAATAAAAGACGCAACACAGAGCCCCGATCTGTAAGTACAGGGACGCTAACTCATCATATACTTCTGTAAACTTAATAATTAGGGTCTAATTGTGGATCGAGGACATAATCCGTAACATCGAGCCCTGTCATTGTTGGAAAAAGTTTATTCTCAGGTCTGAAATGACCAGAGATAAACAACTCAGAGCGTGAGGCTACGTCACTGTGCGGGCGGGGGGCGGGCTTACGGACAGAGCTCAACTCAATGCAAGAGATGGCTATAATCTCACAAGTTTTGAGTGTTGTGTGGTGTATGACTCAAATTATTATCACACATGTGCATAGGATTGAAATATGAAGAAAAGCATAATAGGCGACCTTTAATAGTCCAGTAAGTTCTGTAAGAAATAATTGCTACTAAAAAGCCCGGTATAACATTGTTAATCGCTTTGTGATTTGAACAGTTTGGTACCTCAGCATTAATATGTCTCTATATGAATATACAAATGTTACAAACAAATACACAAACTATTACTTTAGTGTGCTGGGGTAGAGTAGACTTCAATTGTAATTTGGGTAGGAACCACTGACTTATGGAGATGCTCATAAGCTGGTTATAATAATGGCCCATATTGGTCTTACAGTGGTCTCTCATCACGGGACCAGGATGTGGTGACCCACCTGAGGAGCGATGATCCAGTCCTGCCAACCCACGTCTCTGAAGTCTATGTACAGTCTCCGTGCTTTGCACACGTTGGACCTGAAGACCGGGAGACGCATGGCACTCCTCCTCTGACGCGAGCGGCACTGCTCCGGGTTCAGAGAGACCAGCACCATGGAGGCCTGAACGAGAGGCAAGGACCACTCTGGCTGCACCGAGCCTGGAAATGGAGCATACAATATAAACATAATAGAGCAACGGGGTGGAAGAAGTAGGCAAATAACGTAATGCTTTAATACTACGTCCATCCTGCCATCCCTGCTCTCATGCCCGACTCCACCTGCAGGTGGAATCGGGCATAATGGAGCCACGACTCCATTATACTCATCAAGTTTGCGGCGACACCACCCTCATTGGTGAGGGTGAGTGTATACAGATACATTGTTAATTAAAAAAAATCATACAATGTGATTTCACATTCTGTCATTCACTTATTTGTATACAGTGCCTTGCGAAAGTATTCGGCCACCTTGAACCTTTCAACATTTCGCCACAATTCAGGCTTCAAACATAAAGATATAACATTTTAATTTTTTGTCATGAATCAACAACAAGTGGGACACAATCGTGAAGTGGAACAAAATTTATTGGATAATTTAAACTTTTTTAACAAATAAAAAAATGAAAAGTGGGGCGTGCAATATTATTTGGCCCCTTTCCTTTCAGTGCAGCAAACTCACTCCAGAAGTTCAGTGAGGATCTTTGAATGATCCAATGTTGTCCTAAATGACTGATGATGATAAATAGAATGCACCTGTGTGTAATCAAGTCTCCGTATAAATGCACCTGCTCTTTGATAGTCTCAGGGTTCTGTTTAAAGCGCAGAGAGAACCATGAAGACAAAGGAACACACCAGGCAGGTCCGAGATACTGTTGTGGAGAAGTTTAAAGCCGGATTTGGATACAAAAAGATTTCCCAAGCTTTAAACATCTCAAGGAGCACTGTGCAAGCAATTATATTGAAATGGAAGGAGTATCCGACCACTGCAAATCTACCAAGACCCGGCCGTCCCTCCAAAATTTCATCTCAAACAAGGAGAAGACTGATCAGAGATGCAGACAAGAGGCCCATGATCACTCTGGATGAACTGCAGATAACTACAGCTGAGGTGGGAGAGTCTGTCCATAGGACAACAATCAGTCGTGCACTGCACAAATCTGGCCTTTATGGAAGAGTGGCAAGAAGAAAGCCATTTCTCAAAGATATCCATAAAAAGTCTTGTTTAAAATTTGCCACAAGCCACCTGGGAGACACACCAAACATGTGGAAGAAGGTGCTCTGTCAGATGAAACCAAAATCGAACTTTTTGGCCACAATGCAAAACGATATGTTTGGCGTAAAAGCAACACAGCTCATCACCCTGAACACACCATCCCCACTGTCAAACATGGTGGTGGCAGCATCATGGTTTGGGCCTGCTTTTCTTCAGCAGGGACGGCTAAAATTGATGGGAAGATGGATGGAGCCAAATACAAGACCATTCTGGAAGAAAACCTGTTGGAGTCTGCAAAAGACCTGAGACTGGGACGGAGATTTATCTTCCAACAGGACAATGATCCAAAACATAAAGCCAAATCTACAATGGAATGGTTCACAAATAGACGTATCCAGGTGTTAGAATGGCCAAGTCAAAGTCCAGACCTGAATCCAATCCAGGATCTGTGGAAAGAGCTTTTGCAAGGAAGAATAGGCAAGAATTCCAGTCTCTCGATGTGCAAAACTGATAGAGACATACCCCAAGCGACTTGTAGCTGTAATTGCAGCAAAAGGTGGCGCTACAAAGTATTAGCGCAAGGGGGCCGAATAATATTGCACGCCCCACTTTTCAGTTTTTTATTTGTTAAAAAAGTTTAAATTATCCAATAAATTTCGTTCCACTTCACGATTGTATCCCACTTGTTGTTGATTCATGACAAAAAATTTAATTTTTATATCTTTATGTTTGAAGCCTGAAATGTGGCGAAAGGTTCAATACTTTCGCAAGGCACTGTATATTGTTCACTTACCAGGATGAAAGGCCAGCACCTCCTCCTGGTGTGTCAGCAGTGGGACCGTCTCAAGCTCCAGCCCGTAGTTGCGTCCCGGTTTCCTCCAGGCCTCAGCCACAGAGGTTAGGTCCAGGGTTACGGTGGTAGAGCCCGGCTTTAGCTGCACGGACTGGGAGAGGAGCAGCCTGCGGTGAGTCTGACGGTCCACACCTACAAAGGAAAACACACATTGCACACTATACAACACTATGCCCAAACTATTCAGTTTACACAAAGTATTAAAGCAGAGACACCTAACTTTTCAAACACTTTAGATTGATAAGTACAGGGTTCTTTGAGATTCTGATGCTTGTATTTAATGTTTATATAGGATCCTCTCTCTGGTCTCTCTCTCTGGTCTCTCTCTCTGGTCTCTCTCTCTGGTCTCTCTCTCTGGAGTCGTGAATATGCCCAGGTCTTGTCACAAAACTCGAGGAGATGGAGCTTTTGTTGTTACCTGCTCCCAAGTGTGGAAGAGTTTCCCCTTATTCCACAGTTTTTCCAGTTACCTACATCAGAGCAGCTCCTTCCTTCAAGTTTTTAAATCTAGTCAGAAGACACATTTGTGCCTCGGCTTTTAACACCAACTGAGTTCTCCTGTTTTAAGATAAGATAAACTTTATTGATCTCAAAATGGAGAAACAATTTTACAGATTTTTGTGTGTATCTTATTCTGTTTCTTTGGGCATCTGGTGTTGTTGTTGTCATACCACACATTTGTTGGAGTGATCCACATTGTATTGCTCATTACAAAAATTAAAACATGAAAAGTGGCTCTGTCCATGACATCATAGACTAAAGATTTCTTACAGTGTAACTACTTTGAAAACAGAGCAGTAATGGATGGACTAAATTGAGGCAGAAGTTTAAAACCTTTGAGTGTGGCACGGAGGATCCTGTAGAGGGCGATGCTGAGGCCGCGGCCGGTGGAGAGGGTTTCTCTGGAGAGGAACCGCAGCTCTAGACGCGCCAACGTTAAAACCTCCACCGGCTGAAGCACCGAGGTGTTGAAGTAGAGCTGCTTCTCCAGAGTGCTCCAGGCCGAGTCCTCCCCACCTGCAGGAGAAGAATTATGCATTTGTTTGTATGGATGGATGTGTTTCTGCTGCTGGACACCTGGATTTCCTCCTGCAGGCATCCATATAGTATCTATCTATCTACATGTTGTGGAATTGTATTTCAGTATTTTAGCAGGAGCCAAAAAAATGTATTGGAAAGAAAACATATTGAAATAAAATGTTGATGTCATTATTTGATAATGATAAGAAAGCTGCCATATTATTCTGATGTCTGAAAGTCCTTTCTCCTAGCCAACATCCTGCATATGTTTTTGAAAAGTATCACCACTTCTAGTGATGACGTCTCGGTTAGTATATGCACATTGATACACATCACATTAAAAGCTTTGTCTTCTTTTGTTTGATCTGGAAGGACTCGAAAATAAACCGGTGTGATTGCTGCTGCTGTCTTCATTTCCTGACAGATTGTTCCAGCGATAACATTAGCCGCGTTTCCACTGCAGGAGTTCCTGCAGAGTAGGACCACTTGGCGACGTCATATGTGTTTCGATTGCCACATAAGCGAAACTCATTACGCCAAACCCCTTATTATTATAGATCCATGCGCCAAATCCATTTGTTTAATATACGTTCATGACCGCTCCGTTTGTTGTGGTCTTTTGAGTTTTTTTATAGTCCTGTTTTGTTTTTTAAAAACTTTTCACGGCTTGTTTTGGAGTGTGATGAATCCTCAGTGTTTCGTGGTGAAGCTGATATGTCTAGATATATCTTTTAATTTTGCCGCGATGCCTCAAACCCTGTCTGAATCACCGGGCTGTTGTTCGCTGTTTCCAGTGGTGTCTGCTCTTAATGCTGCTGAATGCCGGTTGTTTTGATGCCTTCTGCTGGTGTCTGAGCGCCTGCACTAGCTTTAGCCAATCAGCGCCAGGTTCACCTCAAGTCCCACCAGGGCCAAACCGAGTACATACCATGCAGGAGGGACTCCGTTGGGCCCCGTAAAAGTTCCTGTAAATAGCCCTGTGGGGAAAGTTCCTGCAGTGGAGACACGCACCGACAGGGCTGGCCCTCGATAATTACCCCGAAGTTCCTGTGGTGGAAACGTGGCTATTGAAATAACAAAAACCCCAGACGAGTTGAGAAGTCTGACTTTTGACAGTTACCATAGTTATCAAGAAAGATTTAAGAGATGCCACAATCTGAAACTATAGGCTCTTGTGACATTCATCAATCATATCTGTATCCATCTATAAATAATATCTGTATCTTATTACCACCAAGTTCTCCACAAAGCTATCTATCTATCTAGCCATCTGAAGTATCCACATACGTTTAGCCTAAATCACACATTGAAAAATCCATTATTTTAAAATAAGTGCAAAACAGATCCTTACATCCAAATTCAATTCAATGTCCTCTTGTGTTGAACATTTCAAATCTTTCATTCAATTCACCCGTAATAATGTGGTAATGTGGGAGATCGGGTCGTGACCTATGGAAGGCCAGATCACTATCTAATTACCATAGTAAATATAATCCATTTATCCATAGAAAGAAATAAAACAAAGCTGTCCCAGACCCAGCCTGTAAACAGCTTCATCTACTGCATTTTCAGTCACTATCTACCTCTTTGGGCTGTGGAAGAGGTGTGAATGTAAACAATCGGTTGTTAATCAATGTAGACTGCTTAATTAACGGCTCTTTTCACACTTCACCATATCCTCCTCCATCACCAGAAACCAAATGAAAGAGATCAAAAATACTTGAAAACATGACAAACATTAGGACTACAGTATGGTCATATACATGGTTAAAAACGTTGGGTTTAGAGTGCAGGTATAACACAGCTTTAAAAAAGTGAGTTCATGAATCTAAAACAGTTTGTTTCTATCACAAGTTTTCACATGCACATATTTATGGCTTCTGTCACATTTGTAGATCTGCTTTCTCAGAAAAGTGAGAAAGCAGTGAAAAAAATGTGAAAAGGGTTAGGACCACCCTCACCATGCAAAAAAACTAATTTCTAATCAGACAAAGTCAGCAGTATGTTGTGGACTGATCTGTTTTAAAAAAAAAAAAAGACTTTCTGTTGGGAAAACCATAAGACTTTCTGGCCTACCTCTTTCGTTTTAAATTGTTCTTTGAAAATGATAGGCTAATAAATAAACATCACACGTTTTTTCTTCATATTTAATCCACGTGTTTTGACCCAACAGAAGTAGTCCTGTAAAGGTAAAATGCTTTGAACAAATGCAGTCTTCATACTATTATTGAAGACTAAGTGTACGCTTGTGCTGAGTGCTCAATCAGGTCAGTCCTCTTTTCTGTCTGAAAAAGCTGATCTAAAGATGTGCCAGGGTCATAGACTGTATAGTACATGAGTGAGTGCATGCATGTGAAAACTATTCATAGAAGTAAGTTTATAGAACAGTTACATTAATTTCATTTCATAGTTTTTGTTGTAAATTGAAAGTAAGGTACCCCAACTTTAAAGCCATCTGTGCTCTCACCTTGGTCCTGCACGTATCTGATGATGTTGCCCTTCACCCCGTACTCCTCCACAGTACATGGGTCGCTCTCCTCTTCAACCGATCGCTGCTTTTTGCGCTCTGAGCTGCGGAATATCCTCCAGAGCGCCGCGGGGACCTGTGCTCGTGGAGACCGGCCTGGGATACCGCCTCCTCCCGCCCCTGCACCGCCTCCAGGCCTGGGTCTGGAGCTCAGGCCCAGAGACGAGAGGAAAAGCCGCTCCTGAGTGCGCAGATCCCGCTGGTCCGTGGATGAGGCGTAGCGCACGGAGAGGAGCCAGGCGCACAGCATGAGGAGAGACGCAGGGGACAGGGCCATGGAAAGGGGAGAGTGAGGAGAGTGGCGAGTGGAAAGAGTGGATGTTGTGCCGCTGATAACACGTGGGGGCCGGGCTCGTCTCCTAAGGGCAGGTAGGGGGAGGAGGAAACACTATGCATAATCAACAGTACATACACAAAGTGCATTTAAACGTTACGTTCAAACTACAATAATATATATGCAAATCAAAACTCAGGCAGCCAATCAGCTCTTAGCCAAAAACGTCAGTAAGTGATTCACAAGGATGTGAATTACATAGCATGTGATATTTACGAAAGAAATATGTTCCCATCTTTAATCTATGGTATTAATGTATTAAAATGTGTAGCTCAATGAGAAATACCCATTAGCATGCGCATTAGACCTGCTTAAAAAGTAACATGAATAATGAATGTTTACAATTGAAATCAGATCGTAACAAAATTTCTGAAGTGGGAAATATTTAAAAGCTAAACATGATTATGTGATCTGAGCATGGTGCCAAACAAACATTATAAAAGAAACGACAAGTGTGAGGTGAGTAGACCAGTCTCCGAGGTCAGGTGGGGCCTCCACCTGCTGCACCTTATCTGAGCATCAGGGGGCGCCTCGGTTTTGCATGTAAACTCCCCGTTATGTTCTCTATGAACACTGATAAAATATTATTTAATTACAGAATTTGTCCAAGAACCCTTTGGAGAACTATACAAACCTTTGTGAAGCTGATGGCTTATAGTTCATAATTATAAATGGGAACAACCTGCCCAGAGAGTGTAGTTAAAAGCAGTTGTATTGAGCTGTGTATAATACAAAGTATTTTGAATCCACTCTTTTGAATGTTGCTCACTGTGATTATCTGAATCTTTATGTTTTTAATGCTTACTTGTACTTGTTGCTTGTTTCGTTTATTGTTTTTGTGAAGCACAGTGGCTGCCTTGTATATGAGCTGTGCTATACAAATAAACGTGCCTTCCCTATAGCTGGTGGGTGTTGGGGCTAATAGACGGTAGGATTATCATGTCATGTTTTAACAATTCCTCAGTCACAGCGGATGCAAATGTACTGGAAATGAGATGTGGAGATCTGTGATTATACCTTGTAGCTCACCTGTTACGGATTACTGTTTATAATAATAATAGCGCTGTATCTCGTAGTCCATCCATCCATCCATTTTCTTCCCCTTAATCCATTTCTGGGTCGGGGGGGTGTCAGTCAGAGCTGCACCCAGTCCACAGAGCACCAGCCCCTCACTGATCCTCCTGCAGGTGGTGAGTTCACAGGAGCTGAGATGTTTCAGTTTCAGAGATGTTTCAGTGGGGGCTTCGGGCAGAGTGGGGTTAAGTGTCTTGCCCAAGGACACAACGACAGCAGTCATCAGTGGAAGTCGTGGAAGCTAGCTCTTTAGCTATAATCGGGTGCATAACATATCTGTCTTTGAGCCTAATGTCTCTGTACATTGTCCCTTCAAATAAAGACTAAACAAACTAACTAAGGAACAGATGGATGTTTATGGCAGCATTCTGACTCTTTACTGACAAACGCTTTACTATTCATTCTGACAAACTGATACAGCAACGCGTTCCCATTTGTTCCATTTAATCTTTGTGAGTTTATTAAGTCGTTTTTATTTTTATTCTAGACAGTATCAGATGAATCAAATTAATAGCATATTTGACCACACCTCTTCTTTCTGTCTTTCCTCAGAGCACCCAGGTCTATGCAGTGTTTTTTCTCTCAGCATATGCAAGTACACAATAAGCTATTATTATCTCCTACTTCCTGTTATGTTAAGATAATTTAAGTTTCCTGTGTTTGTCTATATTTGCATCTCCCTCTGTTTCTTACTTACTATTGACCCAATTGTCTCATTTTTATTTGTAAGTATTTGACACTAAACACAGCTCTGGACGCTCTGTTCTAGTGAACACTGTGGTCTATGGGGAAGATCTCCTTACAGCCCATGTGGATTTAAGCTGCAGAGACAGGTCTCAGCAAGATCACCCTCCACATATAATCATACATCCATGGTCTACTGTGACGTCATACAATGTCAAACCATATCAACATAAATGCTTTGAGGTCCTCTTCTATGCCTGGTTTTCATTCATTTATTCTTAATCTCTGTAACAATGGATTACGGCAGCACCACATACTACTAATGATTATAACATCACATTAATATATTGGTTGATTAGGTTGAAAAATTAGTAAACACACAAAGTTTAAATTGTTTACTAAGCATTATAATAAAACATAGTAATCAGTGCTGTTGGGACGAAGCATGTGCTGTTTCCAGGTCTAAAGTCTTCAGTCTGAGTCGCTGCTGCTGCAAGAACTGCTGGAAGACTGCAACGACAAAAAAGAAACATGGCTTTTTAGGCCGTTTTTATTGATGTTCAGCAGAATGAAGAGGTTACACACACTGTTCAATAAGGAAGTTCTGCTCCAACTTGCTCTGCCTCCGATGGACTTGTATTGAAAAGTAAACTAGCTCAGAAATGGTTTGTTTGTTACATACACACAAAATAAATGGTTTAGCACTCTCTCTGGTATTTATATTGTGATATTGTCTTTGTAAATCCTCATATGAGCCATAAGGATCGACCAATCAGATGCCTTCATTTGAAGGGGGGCAACTCCAGCTTGACTTAAAGCTGCACTAACTGACTTTATTTTTGTATTCATTACGAAAGTGCTATCCATGTCCATGTAGTGCATTGGGATATATGTCCTTTTGAAGAAAAAGTAGCGCAGATTTGTGCTGCCGTGACATAATATTTTAGATCGAGTTTTGTTGAAACAAGGAAGAGAATGTGTTTCGGGTCGCAGATTGTGACCAATCACAGCGCACCACTAGCCCCCACTTTTGTGAGAAATCTACAGGTCTGTTAGCATAGACGGCTGAGTTAGAACAAGCCGAGGAGCTAACCTGAAACTTCCTCGTCTTCGTCACCGGTTACTGCTTACACAGCGAAACAGCCATCCAAAAGAAAGTCTTGTTCCTCCGCGCTTCCCGGTTCTATCGTTCTATGGTCACGCCATCCACGTGCAAATCCATATCCATGTATTATCCATATTGGGAGACGCTAGCTCCGTCAACAACAGTGGGTGTGTGTGGGGGGGCGATAGCTTTGTGGGTGCGGGGAGGGGAGCACAAAGAGCGAGGCCAGCAAGTCCGCGGCTTCAAAATCCCAAAGTCAGTTAGTGCAGCTTTAACAACCATTTAGCAACACGTTTGCGTCAGAGCAATGCCCATATGAGGAAATTGGCTCTATCAACCTTATGTTAAAATCCCTTCCCCATTAAGGCTAGATGAGACAAGACCAGGGATGTCAAAGTCAAAAGGGCAAAAAAGGACTGGGTCAATGTTTCTTAAAGGAGGAGTATGTAAAAATCTGGCCAAGATAATTTATTTGTGGGCTGGACCTCGCTGCCCGGCCTTGACTTTGACACCCATGGGCTGGACCAAGAGGAATGAGACAGAATTCTAACTATTGTGTGAAGCTTGTGGAAGGATTCCAAAAATATTAGACCCAAGTTAATTCTTTGGCAATTCCATTAAATACTCACGCTTGCAAACTTCTGACTTTGTAGAAAATCAGATCACCATTTTTTTACAAAACACGTTATATTTTGCATACTTTTGCATAGGTGGAGATAGGGTGGACCGCTCTGATTAACTTTTCTGTCTAAAAAGCAAATGTTTAGATGTGACAGAAGCCAAAAATACATGCATCTGAAATCTAGTTATAGAAGCTGGAAACTGTTTTAGAGCCAAGAACAAGTTTGAGAGTTACGCACACCAGCTTTTTGTAGAATAATTATGTTACACTTTGATACTAAATCCTATTAGTCTCACCCCATGTCCACTCTTCCCTTTCTTGTGGCAGTTAGCGTGATTGTGTCCGTGCTTGTGTTTCTTGTGCTTCTTCTTCTTCTCGTGCCCATGTCCGTGCCCGTACCCCGGACCAGGTGGGCAGACTGCAGGACCTCCAGGATACCCAGGACCAGGTGGACAGACCGCAGGACCTCCAGGATACCCAGGGGCAGCCGGGTAGCCTGGTCCAGCTGGGTAGCCTGGTCCAGCTGGGTAGCCTGGTCCAGCTGGGTAGCCTGGTCCAGCTGGATAGCCTGGCTGGGGACAAGGGCTTGGGTGTCCATGGGGGTTGGGAGGGTGTTGTCCTGGGGGGTACTGAGGAGGGTACCCGCCCTGTGGAGGGTAACCTTGGTTTCCTATGAAAACAAAAAGCAGAAAAAGATGTATTTACAGAACGTTCATACATTTATTCATTCATTCATTTTCATCCCCTTTAGTAGTCCATTTCTGGGTTGGGAGAGTTGACAATCAGAGCTGCCACCCAATGCTCATAGCACCAGTCCCTCGTTGATCCTCCGGCAGGTGGTGAGTCCACAGGAAGATGGCCGCTCCATCAACGGTGACACAGCCTTGGTGTTTCAGAATCAGAATCAGAATCATTTTTATTGCCACGTAAGTAACAGGAGGTCACAGACTTGGAAGTTGCTTTGGCTCGGTGCAACAGTCAGAGAGAGAAAATAAAATATAAAGAATAAAAAACACTTCTAAGGAATAAATTTAAAATTAAAATAAAATAGAGTTACAATTACTATATAGTATACACAATACAGTGCACATGGTGCACACAATGTAAGGTGACAGCAGTACAGTGAGGTAAAGTGATGTACGATGGGCAGTAAAGTGACATTATAAAGAGCAGTAGGGGACTTCTAGAGGGTGGGGAGGTTAAGAAGTGTTCAAGAGTCCAACAGCAGAGGGGAAGAAACTGTTCTTGTGGCGGGAGGTTCTAGTCCTGATGGACCGCAGCCTCCTGCATGAGGGGAGTGGTTGGAAGAGTCCATGTGCAGGGTGAGAGGGGTCGGCTGTGAAACGACCAGCCCGGTCTTGAGCTCGGGCGACGTACAGGTCCTGCAGCGATGGAAGGCTGCGGCCAATCACCTTCTCTGCAGAGCGCACGATGCGCTGTAGTCTCTGTTTGTCCCTGACTGTGGCTCCAGCGAACCACACGGTGATGGAGGAGGTGAGGATGGACTCGATGATGGCCGTGTAGAACTGCACCAACATCTGTGCAGGCAGCTTGGCTTCAGCGGGGGTTCAATGTGGGGTTTAAGATCGAACCCACAACCTTCAGGCCCAAAGGCCAATGCTCTACCAACTGAGCCACTGTAGCCCCTTCATATGGGGTGCCGATTGTAAAAATTCTGTTAAAATTTTTTAGCTGAACATTTTTCTACATTTAGCTCACTTTCCTCACATTTAGCACATTTTCCTCACATTTAAGACATATCTATATCTAAATATTATATCTATATCTAAATGTTAAATGTTATATCTAAATATTATATCTATATCTAAATGTTATATCTATATCTAAATGTTAAATCTAAATGTTAGATCTAAATGTTAGATCTAAATGTTAAATCTAAATGTTAAATCTAAATGTTAAATCTAAATGTTAAATCTAAATGTTAAATCTAAATGTTATATCTATATCTAAATGTTATATCTATATCTAAATGTTATATCTATATCTAAATATTATATCTATATCTAAATGTTAAATGTTATATCTAAATATTATATCTATATCTAAATGTTATATCTATATCTAAATGTTAAATCTAAATGTTAAATCTAAATGTGTCGCCTAGTGTAAAGCTAAATATATATAAACCACGCCCACTGCAGTGGCTTCAAATCCAGTGGGCCCGCCTTCCGTGCTGTGTGGTGAGTGGGGGCGGTGCCGCGTGTTTTGAACATAGGAATACACGTGGACCGACGTCACGGCTCAAGGCATGTTGGGTCTCCGGCGCCATCGTCCTTGGCCACGGCACAAAATTAGCATTTTTGTGAAGATTCTTGCTTATTTGCTGGAGCCAGAGTGTATTCACTGTAAACTAAGCCACGTGGAGTCCCGTGAGATTCCTGTGTAATCCTGTAGGGTTCTCACCACACGGCACGGAAGGCGGGCCCACTGGATTTGAAGCCACTGCAGTGGGCGTGGTTTCTATATATTTAGCTTTACACTTGGCGACACATTTAGATTTAACATTTAGATTTAACATTTAGATTTAACATTTAGATTTAACATTTAGATTTAACATTTAGATATAGATATAACATTTAGATATAGATATAATATTTAGATATAACATTTAACATTTAGATATAGATATAATATTTAGATATAGATATAACATTTAGATATAGATATAACATTTAGATTTAACATTTAGATTTAACATTTAGATTTAACATTTAGATTTAACATTTAGATATAGATATAACATTTAGATATAGATATAATATTTAGATATAACATTTAACATTTAGATATAGATATAATATTTAGATATAGATATGTCTTAAATGTGAGGAAAATGTGCTAAATGTGAGGAAAGTGAGCTAAATGTAGAAAAATGTTCAGCTACAAAATTTTAACAGAATTTTTACAATCGGCACCCCATACCTTCATACCAATATCACACACATAAGATGAGTGTGATTGATTCTATGATCTGTTGTTGAGGAATAGTCAACTTCGCCAATCAACTTCTGCTGTTGTGATTTAGAGATATACAGCACAAAAATAAATGTCATTGATTTTAATTGAATCTCAAGGTAGGTACATACAAAGGTAACCTGCTAGCTCAATGAAGCCCAATAGGAAGTTTTCTTGTACAAAGTTTTGCTCCAACTCACTCTAGCTCTTATCGACTTCCTGTACATTGAAAAGTAAACTCCTCTTGTTGAGTAACCGTCACACACAATATTAGGGTTAAAAGTCTATGGTTTAGAGCTCTCACTGATGTTTATATTGTGATATTATCTTTGTAAATCAAGATATCAGACATAACAACTGACCTATCAGAAGCCTTAGCAACCATCTTAGCAACACATTTGCCCCTATTACCGCGCAATGCTTACGGCATCGGGACAAATCCCCATGTAAGTAAGTTAAAACCATCGGTGTGATATAAAACACATCCCGTTTAAATTCTTTTATCAATCACAATCTTACATTTGACACAGTGATGGAATCACGGGACCATTGACCCAGCCAGAGTTTCAGCCCAAGTTATGAGAATGCCCCTCATTTCTGAGTTAAGCAGTATTCATTCCTATTTTCCGAGTCGGAAGTCAGAGTGTCCGAGATATCATGAACGCAGCAAAAGAGTCAAATAGAGACTCACAGGGCTTGTTCTTTCTGATTGAAATGACATCAGAATGTTGTGTTGTCTGCATTTATTCACACACTTTCCTCCTTCTGTTGATCAAACTACATGTATTATTTAGGAAACAAAAGTTAGAAACCCCACCTTTAATATCAATCTCAGTTCTGTCAAAAATAAGGACACTTGCAAATAACTTCATCAAAGTACAGCATTAAAAAGTCTAAAAGTTAGTTAGTTAAACTGTTCTTACCTTGGTTTGGGTACATTTCGGTATGTGTGTGGTCAAAACCCAGTGACCGGCCGCCTCCAGATCAGTGCTTTATACACAGAGACTTCCCATGATGCTTCGGGGCGGGGCTGTTGGGGAATGTTTGGGTGTGGATTTGTTCTGTATAATGTTTAACACACAGCCGTATAGATTTACTGATATGAAATAACTTCAGTCATTTATGCTTCTTGTTGGTGTAGACAAAATGTACAAATTATGGAGAGATGAGTGGGAAAGAAACTGCTTTATATATATGACAATAGTTTAAAAGCAGTATTTTCTATTACTTTAAGCAGATATGACAAGATGATATCCTTTGTGTAAGAAAGTGAGTCACTTTTGGTTTTTCAGGCTAAGAACTGATTGGGGGTGGGTGGTCAATTAAAACTTTCAACTTAAAATAAGTGGTCAAAAATCACAGCGCAGTTTATGAGCAAAAAACTCAAGTTTTTGTGCAGTCTGTGGGAATGAGGCTAGAGATTCATATTTGTCACTATATACTGGTGATGTCTTCTGATACTTTAATGTATTTCTGACTTGACAACTCCAACATACAAACTTAGAGTAAACTATAATTCCGAGGTCCACTCTTTGATGACGACAGACGCACTATTTCTCACTCATCTCGTCTCATATTTAATGTGTATTTTTGCTGTGTGTGTGAGGTGTGACTGCTCAAAGTCCCAACTGCTCCTTATTCAGAGAGATAAGGAACACGTAGACTGGGTTCATAAACTTAATGATTAATATCAGTGCATCACACCTATTAGGCACTTAGTAATATGACATTAAGAAGAAAAAGATTTATTTGTGTAACACATGTCACACACATACAGTACATGCAACTCAATGTGCTTGTTAGTCTACTCCAGTCTCTTCTTAACAAATCAGAAAATAATCATGAACTTTGACTTAAAGGGAAAGTATAGACACTTACTGGTCGATGCAATTAAAAAACAACTTTTGTCGGTAGAATCTTCTGCCTGTGATGCAATCTACCTGCTGGAGTTTACTGTAGATATACAGTACAAAAAAATACAAACTCTGTGTATTACATGTGATAACCTATTTAATGAAAAGAACATTAACACAACATAAAATTAAAAACATGTAAAATATGTCTGAATGTAATGAGAGGATGAATGGATGGTGATAGTCGGAGGCTTTGATGCATCTGTCATCACTGTAAGTGGAGAGAATGAAGATTGCCAAGCGTTTTGTGTGTTTGTTGTTTGAAAAAATATGTTTTATTGTCCCCGTAGGGATATCCGTCCATCCTGAATGCCTCTGACAGGAGCAGTGGTCTCCGTAGTACAGAACCCAGGACACATCTCTAGATCTTGATACTCTTGTTTAGGAACAGAGCTGGAGGATTTTACATATTCTACATGTCTTTAGTGGCAGGGGAAACCGAAAACCAAAGGGAACCTAGGCAGACCTACTTGCTGAGAAGAGAGAGTACCATTGTAGCATCCACACATAAAATATGGGCGCACAAATAGAAAATGTAGATGCCATTTAAATATGAAAACACAATCAAATAATACCATATAAAAACTGTTGTCAAGTCAAGTACAGATACCACGAATAAATGCATGCGCAAATTGCTGTTTCACATATTCCTGAGTGGCAGGAAAATGAAAAATGTGACATGGGAATCTGCCCATGTCTACAGCACGTATATTTCAACGGAAGAAATAGGCGTCACTACGTCCGGTAATATTTACAGTCTATGGATACTTCTCAATGCCATTGAAGAGGTCACTCTCTAGTCTTTAGCAATTAGCAATATAAAGCTCAATCGCTCCAGCCCCTTTGACCAGGTATCACGATAGTATTTGCCCTTTTCTGGGTAGAAATGTAAAGATAGGGTTTTATTTATGATTATCCAATCAAAGAGCAGATTGAGGCTCACATTTGGGTTAGCAGTTTGTATGTCAAAATGTGTAGAACTGGATGGCAAATTGTTAAAGATTCAGATTCCAGATTAATTTATTTGCCATTTGCAGTAAAACCATATTGGAATACATCCGCAAAAGTCTGCAGTGTGCACAAGACAATTACATAAATAAAACAAGGTTAAAAATCCATAAAACAGGAAACAATTGACACTGTGAAATCAATCAACTATAACAGTTTCATTACAAAGGCAAGGTCACTAAAGTGCTCTGTTCAAACTGTTAACAGCTTGTGGAAAGAAGCTGTTAGCATATTGAGATCTTCTGCCAGAACAGTGTAAACCCTGACAAGTAAAGTTTACTTGAAAAAACCTTGGAAATAAATTGCATATCAATGTAACTTGAATTCCTCGCGTATATCCTTTACATGATATTTCCCCGTAAACTTAACCCTGTACATGAGAGGCGAAGGTACTACCCACTCAGCCACCGAGCCACCCTGTCAATGACACACCTGCCTTATTAAAGAGTCTACACGTCAAAATGTCAAAAGTGAGGCTTACTTGAACAGAGTTCAATTCAAAGAAAACCCTGAGTGATATAGCCAAGCTTTAAACAAACTAACAATAAATGAGAAATATTTACTTACTGGAAAAAATCTTTATAAAATAACTTTGATATCTGAAGTTCGATGAAGTTAGCTTTTCAGTGAAGGAAGAAGCTGTAATATGGCTTTTCCAGGGTGGATTTTCAACATTTTCAAGAAGTATAAAAGCCATTACAATGTCAGAAAGGCTCTTTGAAGAAATAAAGGTTTTGTGCTTAACACTGGTGTAATAGGCCAATCATGTTGAAATCTCTACTGAAACCAGCCTGATAATTTAACTGCCACACACAAATATTAGATACTTCTCACATTATTGATGAGGAGTGGAACCCCCCTCCAGAGCCTCTCTGGTCTCTCTGGTCTGCCGCTGGTCTCTCTTTGAATGAAAGCACATACAAAAAATAAATAACTATGTGTAAAAAAAAAAAAAAAGGACTCTGGGTGGAGCAGGACGGTCTAAGCAGCAGAGGTGGAGTAGCCTAAATAAAATATATTATTATCATTATTGAGGACCAATTGTCACAGATTGATAAGTGCTGGGAGGACACAGACGGGAGGGGGGAAGGAAGGCAACGGGCGGATCAGGGCAACGGGACGGGGGGCGTGGGCCTGTGCAGCATTGCAAAGATGGGGCGAAGAGAGGAAAAGGGGAAAGGCAAGTGGCGTGCGGGTCGAGGCACAAGAGCGGGCGTGCAAGACGAGGCACAAAAGCGGGCATGTAAGAAAAGGCACAGCAGCGGGACCAGTTGGCCAGCCACTCAAGGCGCGGCCGTTTCGACAGCCGCTCAGACCCGGTGAGTCGCACCAGAAAGGGGCGGGGGTTCCTGGGCCAATTCATTCCCCCACTGGCGGTCCTGTTCTTTTGATCCCCTCTGGAGCAGGTGAAAGGCGCAGCGGTCTTGAGGCCCGGGGTGGAGCGCTTTGGGCCAGCACCACTGCAGTTTCTTTTTACCTATTTTACTGACTGGTTTTATGGCGATCGCCTGTTTATGTTAACATTTTATTGTAATAAATGTATTTTTAATCGTATCACCTGTTTTTTTTGTACTGCTCACTCCAGTGGATTTTTTACCTGTGTTTTTTAAAGTAGGTCCTAGGTCCTTTAACCTAGGTGGCGTTGCTTACCTTTTTAATGAATCTTAATTTAGTTTTATGTTAAATTAATTGTTTAAGTCCTTCCCTCGGTCACATTCATCTGATCCACATGTGAGCAACAGCGTCAAAAACACATCATCCATCCATCCATGCTCTCAGGGCCGGCGCAAGGCTGCCCCTCCCCCACATACTCACCTTGGCGTGACAAGAGTGCAGCCTACAGTAGCAGGGTTCAATGATGACAATTTTTTAAATGTTTTTTTTCAATCTTACGTGATGGGAAACACTTAGCAGAATAATAAAAAAGAAACTTTTTTTTATCTTTTATTTTTTTAAGACTGCAATTTTGCGGCCCATCCTGCAGATGGCGCTCTATGACATGGGCCTATGCCGTGGGCCGGTCCTGCATGCACTACCAACAGAGCCACTGTCGCCCCCCCAAAAACACATTATATCGTGTGTTCACACTGAACCCACAGCTGCAAAAAGACTGGTCGCAAAGCGGGTTGGATGCCGAGGTATTTTGAAACACCAGGCCTGGCACTCAGTGTGTCGACTGGGTGACCCCATGGATCTATTATATGGGTGACTAGGGGTTTTTGCTCAGCTTGAAAGGGGGTTACACAGTCCAAACTTACTTATCTACTTATTATCCTGCACTATATGTACAGTACATAACTCTGCACTAGTATATGTATATATTTTTGACTGGTATTGAAGCATTTTCAGTATCTACAGCCAGTTAGGCTAGTTAAAGTAATCACTTTAAGTCTGCAGTTTGTCAGAAAGAGAGAGATTTGAAAAAAACGACGCAAGCAAAAAATATAATGTTTTAATGCACCCAAAAAAAAACTCTTGCGGAAAACCCGGAAGTAGCTATTATCATGAATTGAACATTGTAGGACACCTCTGCAGAGGATCTGATTATGGATATAGGTTCAGTATATATATGGGTAACTCTAAATGAAGAAAGAAACATAGCTACTACTTATTTTTTATATTTTGTATGCTCCCTGTGTGCTCTTACTACTGTCCTATATGTGCACTGCAACATCGAAATTTCCCCACTGTGGCACATATAAAGGAACTCTTATCTTATCTTAAAGCCTGAAGGAAGTTTTGAATCTGGACCCTAATTACTGTCTCGGGATGAGTGGGACGTCTGGTCAGTCTGGTTCTGTGGAGAATCAGTTATGACTTGTGTTTATAAGCCTTTGAAGAGTGTGAGGAGGAAGAGACCCATGAAAACCAGTATTGGTTGTTGGTTCCTGTTGTTTTCCCTGATCAATCATGCATTTTATCATTGTTATCACTTCTAGACACCTTTATGGGGAAATCAAATTTAGGCGAGCCAAGGCAAGGTAAGGACAGTTCGTGCAGAGGCACTTCAAAATGCTTAACAAAACCTGATAGAAACAACCACAAAAGGCAAATTCATAAATACTCACACACAAAAAAACACAGCTAAACAAAACAGGTTTTGACCTGGATTGGAACATTGTCAAAGTAAAAGCCTGCCTCACAGATTTTAGCTGCATCAATTTGAAATGCTGCCACTACATGTTTAGTCCTGACTCTGGGCATCAGCAGGATTTACAGAGAAATTAGCACCAATGAGATTTTGACTGTTACCATAGCTATCAGACTTTTGACCAGACCACAATTTCAAACTTTCCCTCTTATTTAACTTCATATTATTATTTTTAAGTTAATAAAGTCACAAATAATTCGATCTAGTGTAGTTCCTGCACTTGACCACAAAGCGGTGTCACTCCACCTGCTAACCATACCATAACGTCATATGCCACAGTGGGGCTGCTGCGGCTGTAAAGTGCCAAACTGTCGTTGTGTCCCACTCCCAAGGCAAGACACTTCATACGTATTGCCTAGATGAGTCTGGTGTTTTGAGTCTGTTTGGTGAGACACGTAGTTCTCTTATGATACTGCAGAGAACGCACTGAAGGACAATGTTTCTTTTGCAGAAATTAAACTCAACATAAACACAAATTTGTCATCATTCTAATGTGCAACAAAATAAGCCCTCTTTGTTAATGTATTTTATATTCTGTAATGTAAAAGCCTCTGTGGCCTAGTGTTGAAAACTGGCACCTGTGCTATAACACTTACAGCAATGCAGGTGGTTCGTCCAATTCTATGGTTATGTCCATAAAATAAATTTTAAAAAGTGTTGTATTGAGATGTCACAAGAACGTCGGCGAATTGTTTCATAGGCAAAGCTGTATTTTATTATGAAAGCGGAAGTGTATCGTCTTTCTTATCTGGAGCTTTCCCTCTGCGCACAGCCGTGAGTGGGAGTCAGCGACGCGGTCACATCATAGCAGCCACAGCGGCGTACGAAGCTCCGTGGAACCGTGCGCTCTCCCACTGTCCGCGGCCGCCCTGCACACTCCTCCGCGGGACTACAAGCCCCTCCGCCATGGCCACGCTGGGACCGGAGTGTGCTGGTTCCACCCGGGCCTCCCCGCTCCTCCCTGCTGCGCTACAGAGCCACATTGCGGGCGTGAATCTGCCCCACAGCCGAGGCTTGGAGCGCGCCCTGGAGGAGGCATCTGCCAGCGGGGTGCTCAGCCTCAGCGCCCGCAAGATGAAGGAGTTTCCCCGGACTGCGAACAACCATGATCTGTCCGACACGGTGGAAGCAGGTATGGAGCAGATACAACGCGCTAAATATACAAGACAACAGAAAGAGAAAGGGTTATTTTTAGAAAGAGGAATTTCCGTTTGGAGTGAGAAGGCGGATTTATGTTTTGTCTATGGATCACATCAGTTCTTGCAGTCCAGTGCATTGAGCCGTAAAATAACTGTGATTTGTGTATCTTCCCTTTACTGTGTTTAAAGTTGGGGTATGTAACTTTCAAACCACAAAAAAGTGAACCATGTAATTAAATTCATGTCAAAAGTTCCTGGCTCCAAAACAGTTTACTTATATCACTAGTTTTCACATGCATTTATTTTTGACCTCAATTAAATGATATTGACCCCTGCTCTAAATGCAATACTTTGAAACCTTAATTATAGACTGTTAATAGATGGACAATTCTAAGCCAGCTCAATCAGAATCAGAATCCTTTTATTGCCATGTGAGTAACAGGAAGTTACAAACTATCAAATTGCTTTGGCTCTTGGTGCAAACAAGTTAACGCAGAATAAAATCAAAGGCATGCATAAATAAAAGTCTACATACATTTCTTAAGTTTACTATATACAAGTGCACCAGGTGCACACAATAGACGGTTAATGGTGCTTTCAGACCGCCAACGCTGAAACGCTGAAGCCCCGCGCACCAGACGCGCATTCTCTAGTTTTCAGACGCAGAGGTCTTCTCCAATATGCAGCTTTGCAGCGTGTCTTTGTTCAGAGACCTTCCATGGACCCTATATAACAGTAGTATGTGTTCACGTAGGTGCGCAATAAGTTTATTTTATTATTAAACGGTATTTCCGCATCGGCGAGCACACTCGAAGCAGTTACATAAGGTCACGGGAGCATTAAAACCCATATTTTCACAAGCACAGAGTCACTGTCAACCCTGATTTGAGTTCTGGTGAAGCCTGGTGGGGGTCCTGTTTTGGCTGTTTACAGTATGTTAAGTCTGCTCGTTCAGACCTCTTTGCTGCTCTCTGGTTGCTGCACGAACGTCCCGAGGAAAGGTTGAGCAGAGTTTATCGCCTGTGGGCGTCCATTTTCCGCTCCTGCTCCTCCCTTTCGACTTTCCCGCGCACTCCGTGCGTCTCTACTGAGCAGTCCGTGCGTGCGTGCCGAGAGGTCGGTGCGTTTGGACGCTCGAACGCGAGTCACCATTGACTTAGCATTGAAAGCAGACGCAACGCATGATCCGGTCTGAAAGCACCATAAGAGTGCGGTAAAGTGACAGTGACATAAAGTGACGGTTGTGAGGGCAGAGGTCCGTGATGGTTTATGAAGTGTTCATGAGTCCAACAGCAGAGGGGAAGAAACTGTTCTTATGGTGGGAGGTTCTGGTCCTGATGGACTGTAGTCTCTTGCCCGAGGTCAGTGGTTGGAGCATGTGCAAGGTGATGCAGGCGCATGATGTGCTGTAGTCTCGGCTTGTCCCTGACTGTGGCTCCAGCAAACCACATGGTGATTGAGGAGGTGAGGATGGACTCGATTAACCTGGCAAGAGCCAGATTGATGATTGTGTAGAACTCTAATGCGTTCTCCACAATATCAATCTGGGACTTCTGTAGGAGAATCCTTTCGGGGAAAGGAGGGATAAGCAGCAGAATACTTCAAGCTGATTGGGCGAAGTGACGCTGTGTGCCCGCCTACCAAAGTTTGACTTAAACCAATCCCGGTAACATTATGTCGTCATCGGCGTGCACAAAGCGCTTCTTGCTGTTCATCTTTCAAAAAAGAAATTGGAGATTCTGCTAAAACTGACTTGATAGCCTCAGCTACGCGTCCGTCCTCCTGCGTAGCCATGTTTGTTTTGCTTCGGCCCGGCACTTCTTGCTTTCGTCAAACCCGGATATCCCGCCCTAAACCCCCAGACTGGCGCGTGATTGGCTTGAACACCTAGATGTTCTACTCGAAAAGGGTTGGCGGGAGCGGGACAAGATGTATTCTCGAGTGTTTGTGAACTCACAAATACCGCGAGAATTCAGTTTGCAGGCAAGGTTAGGACTCGATGATGGCCGTGTAGAACTGCACCAACATCTGTGCAGGCAGCTTGGCTTTCCTGAGCTGCCTCAGGAAGTACATCCTCTGCTGAGCCTTCTTGATGAGGGAGCAGATGGTCGGCTCCTACTTGAGGTCCTGGGTGATGGTTGTGCCCAGGAAACAAAAGGACTTCACAGAGGTGATGGGGAGTCTATCAGGGAGGGCAGGGGGGACTGTGCTCTTCCTGAAGTCCACAGTCATCTCCACTGTCTTCTGGGCGTTCAGCTCTAGGTTGTTACCACTGCACCAGGACACCAGCCGGTCCACCTCCCTCCTGTAGGCGGACTCATCATTGTTGGAGATGAGTCCAATGAGGGTGGTGTCCTTCCGCAAACTTGAGTCGTGGCTGGAGGTGCAGTGGTTGGTGTACAGGGAGAAGAGCAGGGGAGAAAGAACACAGCCCTGTGGGGCTCCTGTATTTATAATCCTAGAGTCTGAGACAGTCTTCCCCAGACGCACTTGCTGCTTCCTATCTGTCAGGAAGTCAGTGATCCACTTGCATTTGGAATCGGGCACGTTGAGCTGGAAAAGCTTGTCCTGGAGGAGGGATGGCAGGATTGTGTTGAAGGCAGAGCTGAAGTCCACGAACAGGACCCTGACGTAGGTACCTGGGGAGTCCAGATGCTGCAAGAGGGAGTGGAGGACCAGGTTTATGGCGTCGTCTACAGATGTATTGGCTCTGTAGGTGAACTGCAGGGGGTCCAGGTGGGCGGTGGAGGAGGAATTGAGATGAGAGAGGACCAGGCGCTCAAATGACTTCATGACTACAGATGTCAGTGCCACAGGTCTTTAGTCATTAAGTCCAGTGATCTGAATCTTCTTTGGGACAGGGACAATGATGGAGGATTTGAAGCAGCCCGGGACATGCCAAGACTCCAGCAAGGTGTTGAAAATGTCAGTGAAGCCAGGAGTTAAGCCTAGTTTATGCTGCGCTGGTTATGGTTGCGGTTGCGCTGGACCTACGCAGCCACAGTTGCTCGTACACTCGAGCGCTCCCCCCTTACGGAGTATTAAGAGAATGTTGTAACCCCACAACCAACCACATTATGGCGATCTCACAGGAGTTGCCTGGGAAACCAAAGCAGTCCCATTTACGCTGCTACTTTCTCCTCTTCAGAACATAAACATTAGCAAAGCGGGCTGTTTGAGATCATTACATGGACTCATTATTTCATAAGTAATTTAAACACACACACGGACCAATCACAGTGGAGCTTCTCTGCGGAGCCGGCTACGTAGTTAGACATTTTCAAGCGTGCGCGGCAGGCTACGCAAGGGTCTTGCGGTGATCCTTGCGTTGCGCAAGTAACGTCCTTGTCACCACCGTAAGCTTTACACTAGGCTTTAGCTCACTGGCGCAGTGTCTCAGAGTGGCAGGTGAGACATAGTCTGGACCGGGGTGCAGCCTTGAGAAGATCGTTTGATGTCTTATGAAGCTATTGTCAGGGTGGGGGCAGAGCTGATAGGTGGGTCATTAGAGCAGTGGGGGGTGGGTTAGGTGTCCGGGGCGGCGTCAAAGCGGCTGAAAAACTGGTTCAGCTCGTCAGCTAGCTTGTGATCATCAGCACAGAGGGGGGGCTTTCCCTATTGGGTTCAATGAAGTCTAATAGGGAAGTGCTCAAGGAAAAAGTTTTACTCCAACTCCCTCCTATTGACTTGTATTGAAAAGTAAACTCCTAGCTTAATGAAGCCCAAACCATGGCACGGTGGGGCAGCGGTTAGCACTTGTACTTCACAGCAAGGAGCTTCCATTACCACTACAACTCCAGACAGGACCTTTCTGTATTGAGTTTGCATGTTCTTCCCGTTTCTGTAGAGGTTTTCCTCCAGGTGCTCCGGTTTCCTCTTCCACTAATATATGCACAATAGGTCAGGGTGAATGACTGTGTGTTAGTGAGTGTGATTGGGGTGACGTAGTGTTGCTGGACTCGGTCAGTCCACTCCTAATATACGCTCTATATAGTGTCTACATTAAGATTAAGATATATTTTATTCATCCCACAATGGGGGCATTTCAGATATAACTAGTCCATAACTTCTGTAACTCCTAAATCCAGTTTCTGGGCATTTTTTCATAGCAGTGTCTTTCCTCAATGTTGTTTGTCTCCATTAAAGTGAAAGTTCAAACCGTCACATAATCATTGTGTATCGGTCTACAGTTTTATGAGTGGGAGTGGCATTGGTGTCTCTGGGAAATATAACATTTTCTTGTGTAATTTGCATAAAATATTATAAACAATGAAAAGTATTTACAAGTGAAGACATTTTTAAAGTGACAGGAAATAGACACAGGCAGACGGAGACTCACAGGTCCAGACATGTTCAGAAATGTTTTGAAGACTAGACCTGACAGTAGTCGGACAGAGAGGCAACATGTTCTTAAATCAACAGAGCCGCAGACGTATTGCTACTACTGCTACTTCTAATAATAATGCATCGCATTTATATAGCGCTTTTCAGGACACTCAAAGACACTTCACATGTCATTATTCTTTCACCCCATACAGGTGGTGATAAATTACTAATGTAGCCACAGCTGCCCTGGGGCACGCTGACAGAAGACATTTCTACTGCTTCTGCTCTTGCCACTACTACTGCTATATGACTAGTACTACTACCACTGCTACTGCTATTGCTGCTACTAATACTACTACTACTTAAATAAATGGGTTTCAGCCTAAAGGTTCAAATAGTGGCTCACAGGGCTCTTTCTCACACAAAAAAACTACATTTTCTTATAGACTGTATGCAATGCGCAATACTAATCCACTGGCTCAATGAAGCCCAATAGGAAATGCTCATGGGCAAGGTTTTGCTCAAATTCGCTCTATTAACTTTCATTGAAAAGTAAACTCCTAGCTTAGTATCCGGTTATGTCACGCTCATCATTTTGGTCTCAGCAAATCAGTGGTTTAGCGCTCTCTATGATCCTGGTGTTTATTTTGTGGTATTTTTCTTTATA